CTGCAGTGCCCGCCCGCTGGCTGCTCTGGCGCCGCTACCGCCTGTCAGAGAGCATGAAGGGACTGCTGGTGGCGCTGCTCGGGGGCGGGGTGCCGGCTGGCTTTGTGGCCCCTTTTACCCGCATGGCCCACGAGGCCTCGTCCATCCCCTCGCTGGAGATCCTGCTGGTCCGCTGCCTCTTCCACCTGGCCTTCGCCTGGTGCCTGCGCTGCCGCCGAGCCCCGCTGCTGGGGCCTGCTCCAGGCCGCCGACCATCCCTGGAGATCCTGCTGGTCCGCTGCCTCTTCCACCTGGCCTTCGCCTGGTGCCTGCGCTGCCGCCGAGCCCCGCTGCTGGGGCCTGCTCCAGGCCGCCGACGCTTGCTGATGCATGCAGCTGCCAATGTGGTTTCCGTGGCCTGTGCCTACAGTTCTTTCGTGGTGGTGCCCAGTGGCAATGCCGCCACCGTGCGCAAGGGCTCCTCCACTGTGGGCTCAGCCCTTCTGGCGCTGTGTGTGGAGAGCCGCCCACTAAGCGGCTATGACTGGTTTGGGTTGGTGGGCAGCACCTTGGGCTTGCTGATCATGGTAGTGCCAGATCTGCTTAGCCTGGATGCCAGCACTCGGCTGGCTGATGCCTTTGGGTATGTCTTGGCTTGCCTGGGCGGCGTGGCTTTGGCCTTGACTCTGGTCATCTTCCGGGCCTTAGATTTCCCAGCCAAGCTGCCCACAGCTGCCTTCGCCTTCGGGGCACTGGGGGGCCTGGTGTGTGCCCCTGCCATGTTCCTGCTGCAGGAGCCAGTGCTGCCTGCCGACCCGCTCACCTGGACCTGCACGGTGGCCATCGGGGTCCTGGCCATGGTGTCCTTTCTGTGTGCCAGCCACGCAGCCACTCTGGCTCACCCGGCACTGGTGTGCGCCGTGCTGCACTCCGAGGTGGTGGTGACACTGGCCGTGCAGTACTATGTTCTGCAGGAGGCCGTGACACCCTTTGATGTCATGGGAGCTGGCGTCATCCTGGGTAGCATTGCCATCATTGCCGCCCAGAACGTCAGCTGCCACCCACAGGATGAGGATGAGGATGAGAATGAAGATGAAGGAAGGCAGGAGGGCTGAAAGTGGAGATGGCAGCTGGGGTGGTGACAGGATCTTCTGCCCCCTTGACATGCCTGGAGGGGACTCCCAAGGACCAGATGTAGCAGGGACCCTGCATCCTATGGACACACCTGGAAGATATTCCCACGTGCCAGGTATAGCTGAGACCCTCTACCCCATGGACATGCCTGTTGGAGACCCCCCTGTACCAACTGTAGCTGGGACCCTCCACCTAATGGACAAACGTGTTCGACACCCCCTCCATGTGCCACATTGTTGGGACACTCCAGCATTTGGATCCCTGGTTGAGATCCCTATGTTCCCAAGCTGCCCCGGGACCCGTTGTCCCATGGACACACCTGAAAGAAATCCTCATGTCCAGGTGTAACTGGGGCCCTCTGCTCCATGGACACACTTGGAGAAGACTCTGAAGCACATGCCGCCATGGACTACAGGGGTTTCTTTGGCCCTCAAACGAGGCCTGATCCCACAGGGCACTGGTGGACACTGGTGTGGAGATGCATGCCCTATGATGATTGCACGGGACGGCAGCTCCTCTTGCGGTGCAGATGGGAGGAAGGAACTGGCCCAGTCCAGGGCCACCAGCCACACTGGAACTTGGCTTTCTAAAACTCTTCCTCAACAGTTCTTCCGGCCAGATGCCACCAGACAGGTGGATGTAACGTGTCCAAAGCAAGAGTCAGAAATAAAACTTGTATGTTTGAGGATGGGATGCAGGGGCAGCTATAGATTTCCGCATGGACTTAGCCACCCTAAATAGCCATTTCCATCCTGGAAGCATTATCCATCCAGCCCAGTATCCTAACTGTCATGTTGCTCACCTGTTGTGATGCTGTAAATGCCCCACCAGCCCATACCTTCCCTCCTCCTTAGATCTCTTTCTGACCTCTGCTTATTACAGCTCAGCTCTGGCCTTGAAGCATGAGGTTTAAAACGTGGACTGGGCTCTGGAGCCCGGAAAGGGGCTAAATCGGTGAAGTGGAAAGGGAAAAGGAGACATCCATATGAGCTGGGATCCTGCAGCCCCCGACATGACGGAAGCCTAGTCACTTGGTGGTGCTCCAAGCTGTTTCTGCTGTGGCCACGACTGGGCTCTGGGGCATTTATGTTTTCATTGCAAAACCTTGGGGCTGCGTCTACACTGGCAAGATTTTGCACAAAAGCGCCCACTTTTGCGCAAAATCTTGCCGCCTTTCTATACTGGCCGTGAGTATTTGCGCAAGAACACTGACATTGTAATGTACAAAATCAGTGCTTCTTGCACAAATACTCTGACGCTCCTGCTCACGGATAAGCCCTCTTGCACAAGTATTCTTGCGCAAGAGGCCAGTGTAGACAGGAAACGTTAATTTCTTGCGCAAGAAAACCCGTTGGCTAAAATGGCCATCGGCGCTTTCTTGCGCAAGAGAGCGTCTACACTGGCACGGATGCTTTTGTGCAAAAGCAAATCCTTTGCGCAAAGGCATTTGCCAATCTAGACACTCTTTTGCGGAAATACTTTTAGCGGAAGTGGTGCATCGCTTTGGCGGGGGGCCTGGTGGTTAGAGCTGAGGGACTGTATATCAAAACTGCTGGTTTCTCTCCCCAGCTCTCAGAGGGGCAGTGGGGCTGGCAGTTACAGCACCAGGAATCATACCAGAAACAGACACGCCAGGGCAGGGTGAGCAATGCAGGGTTCCAGCTTTATTTAATATCTGCTTGTCAGGGCCCTTCTGTTCCATTCTTCCGGGGAGGAGAGGGGGGGCAGGCAATCATCAGGCAGGAGCCCCTTAGAGTCACCCTAATCCAGACTCCTCTGCCATCTGGCCCAGACCAGCTCTCCATTCAAATGCTAATAGAGCCACAAACCTTTATAGGAGATACCAGCCACCTGGGGGTTATATTGACCCTTAACTTACACCTCAGACCAGGTGCACAAGGGGCCTGCTCCTTCTAGGAAACGTGCACTCCCATCCAGCCCCAGGGCAGGGACAAGGCCTGTCCCCTCTAGGGGATGTCAGTTCCCATCCAGTCCCAGAATGGAGACTGGCTGGCTCAGAGGGGTGGCGAACAAGGTCCAGGTCTACAGGGTGGGCCCAAGGGGTGCTGGTTTTGAATACACACCAATGCCATCTAGTGTCCAATGGAGGAGCTGCACTCACAGCCATGCTCCAACAGGGACCTTCCAGCAGGTGAAGTTGGGGGAGGGGCCTTGATCATATTCCTCCCAAACCCTTATTTCCCCCCCATAACTCAATGGTCCCCCATCCCCACCAGCATCCTACAGTTCTAGGGTCCCCTAGTCTCCCCACCCAAATATGTGTTAATTAGGGATGTTAGGAAGCGAGTAATCAGCTAATTGTGTAGTCCAGTGTTTCTCAACCTTTTTTTGCTCATGGCCCCCTTCTGAGCCTCATTCATCATACGCCTGGCAGTTAAGTGTTTGGGTGGCCCCCTAATGTTCCATTTTTTTTCCAAGTGACCCCTAGAAGTAAGGTGTGGCCCCCTGGGGAGCCATATGGCCCACATTGAGAACCACTGGACTGTAGTCAATAGAATTTCTAATTTAAATTGCAGAGCCACAGTGGGGATAGGTCCTGGATCCAGCATGAACCGGGAACTGAGCCAGGCATGCTCAGTTCTGGCTCACACTGGGTCCAGGAGCCCCTGTCTGCGGGAGGTACTAGTAGGTAGCTGGGACCTCCAACGGACAGGGGCTGCTGCCAGAGCAGCCACTGTTCGCAACCATAGGCTGCTTCATGGCAGCCTCTCCTGCCCCCTCCCCCCCAAGCTCCTACTTCTCTCCCTTGCTGCCTTTGATAGAGGCAGTTGACTCAAGTAGTTGACTGGACTACCTGATCAGCCTAGGCTTATGGGGTAGTCAAATACTTGCTTACGTCCCTAGTGTTAATATCACTGCCTCCTCCCCTTCAGATACTTCCAATTGACCCAGAAGCCACTGATCAGCTCCCATTGGTCTTTTGAGTGCCCCCTCAGCCTTTGGGCCTCTTCCACCTCTTTCTCTCTCTCTCTCTCTCTCTCTCCATTCCCACTCAGGGTGGCTTCCCCACACTCCCCTTGTGTAGCAACAACCCTCCCTGCCACCATCGCTGGCCTTACTTTCTCCCCAACCTTGCCAAATTCAATGTACAGTGCTATGATAAAGCAGGAGTTTTCCATACTATTTCTAGGAAGCCCCAGTTTCCCCATACATCATATAGTGAGGGGACAAGGGTTCATTTCACTCCCAGGGCAAACAAAGGCATAGACGTGAATGCCAGCTGCACATCAGGATTGATAAAAAGGGCACTGATTGAGACTGACTCACATAAACAAATGGTCTGGTAACACTTTACAGACCAGGCATGTCAAATTGGCATTTGGAGGGCCACATGCAGCCTGATCAAAATTTTTTGTGCCCCGCCAGAACATTTGTATAAAAGAATGAAGTGCAGCCCGCTGGCCACTCGGAGCCGAGTGCCTGCTCACGCGCTCATGGCCGGCTGGGAGCACTGCGCTGGGCATGCCAGCAGACACTCACAGCTGGCCGCTGTGCTCACGCCACCCCAGCGCCTCAGGCGGCAACGTTGACTCCAGGACCCAGGTATTAGATTGGAGGGGCTGGGAGAGCCTGGCTCTGGGGGAGTGGGGAGGCATTAGGTTGGAGGTGCCTGGCTCCGGGGGAGGGAGGAGGCATTAGGTTGGGGGGTCCTGGCTCTGGGGGAGTGGAGGAGGATTGGGTTAGAACGGGGGTATAGAAGTGCCTGGCTCCGGGGGAGAGGAAGGGGTTATTTTGTTAATATTTTGGTTTTTATTTATTTATTCCCAAATAAAATCACAAAGGCTTTGTCTACACTGGCTTCTTGTGCAAGTACAGCCGTTCTTGCGAAAGAATCTGCAGTGTCCACACTGCCCGTCCGCTCTCGCACAAGGAAATTTACAGTATGGCATGGTAAGAGAGGGCTTCTTGCGCAAGAGCTACACTCTTTTTTTATCAGGTGTAAGCCCTCTTGTGCAGGAGCTCTTGCACAAGAGGGCAATGTAGACGCTCGCCAGGAATTTCTTGTGCAAGAAAGCCCTATGGCTAAAATGGCCATCAGAGCTTTCTTGCTCAAGAGAGCGTCCACACTGCCATGGGAGCTCTTGCGCAAAAGCACATCTCGCACATGGCAGTGTGGACGTTTTCTTGAGCAAGGCTTCTTGCGCAAGAACCCGGCAATGTAGTCATAACCAAAATGTTTATTAATTTTATATCAATAAATATGTCAATTTTTTGCAATTGCATGAATAATTATATCTTTATGCAAAATTTCAAACTTACAAAGTATCTGAAATTTTTTCAGAACCTGTTCTATTTGATTAACCATGGTCTATACTTGTTTTTATTTCAACAAAACAAGTTATGTATCATATACAAATTTAAAAGTACCTTAAATTTATATTTAAATTAAAAATCATGTAAAATGTATTTTAAAATTATTTAATATGAGCAAATAACAATTTTACACAAATTATTGTAATATTATAAAATATACCTAAATCAATCTATAATAATAAATAAGAACATAAGAACAGTTGTACTGGGTCAGACCAAAGGTCCATCCAGCCCAGTAGTCTGTCTGCCAACAGTGGTCCAACCAGGTCCAGAGAGAGTGGACCGAAGACAACAATCAAGCGATTTGTCTCCTGCCATCCCTCTCCAGCTTCTGACAAACAGAGGCCAGGGACACCATTTCTATCCCCTGGCTAATTGCCTTTTATGGACCTAACCTCCATGAAATTATCTAGCTTCTCTTTAAACTCTATTATAGTCCTAGCCTTCACAGCCTCCTCTGGCAAGGAGTTCCACAGGATGACTACACGCTCTGTGAAGAACTTTCTTTTATTAGTTTTAAACCTGCTACCCATTAACTTAATTTGGTGTCCTCTAGTTCTTCTATTATGGTAACTAATAGACTTTCTAACAAAGTACCTTTTCATTGGTGGCCCTAGGATTGCCAAGTGTCCAGTATTGGTGCCTTCTGTCTGGCACCTAAAATGTTTTGGGTTTTTTTTTTGCTCAGTAAACCATCTGGGAACCCTAGGTGGCCCTGAAAGCTATCAGTTTTTGTTTGTGCGGTCCTCAGGAGGCTTTGAGCTTGACATGCCTGTTGTAGACTAACAAAACGTATACGGCTATGTCTACACTGGCGGGTTCTCGCACAAGAACATCTCGCACAAGGGTTCTTGTGCAAGAACTCTTGCGCAAGGACATGTCCACAGTGCCATGTGCTTTTGCGCAAGAGCGTCCATGGCAGTGTGGACACTCTCTTGCACAAGAAAGCTCCAATGGCCATTTTAGTCATAAGGCTTTCTTGCACAAGAAACCCCGGCTGCGCATCCACACTGCCCTCTTGCGCAAGAGAGCTTACATGTGTTAGAAAAGAGCGTAGCTCTTGCGCAAGAAGCCCTCTCTGACCACGCTTTACTGTAAATCTTCTTGCACAACAGCAGGCGGGCAGTGTGGACGCTCTGTGGAAGAATGGCTGTTCTTGCACAAGAACCGGCCAGTGTAGACATTGCCGTAGATGGTATCATGAGCTTTTGTGGGCACAGCCCATTTCTTCAGCTAACCGGTCTGAAGAATCTTCACATCTGAAGAAGTGGGCTGTGCCTTCAAAAGCTCATGATACCATCTACATGTTTTCTTAGTCTATAAAGTGCTACCAGACCATTTGTTGTTTTTTAAGTTTATCCTGTATAGACTAACTCAGCTACCCCCTGAAGCTTCACATCAACAAGTCAGTCAGAGAGATAATGCAAGAACCAGCAACATTCAGGTTGACTCTCCTCCCTTGGAAGCCAGACAGAGACCTTGGCTCAAGGCCCCAGCACTGTCTACAGGGATGGTCAGGTTAGGCCCCTAGGAGAAGAAGATATTTTTCATACTCTTCAGTGGTAACTTTCGAGTGTAAAAATGATCCAGAGCAATGTAAACTGCTAAGATTTTGCCCAGATGTATGATTCCCCACACCACCTGCTATCGAGGGTAGACAGACACCAGCAATTTCTGGGCTGATCTAATAGTGCTTCAGGTGCAAGAAACCAAGCTGATGGGGAAGTCAGATCTATTTGGAGCCCTCTGTAAGGTTAAAATATACAGATCAGGGTTGCGTTAATGGAGAGGCCAGGGCCAGCAGCCGGTGGGGAATCTGTAGAGCCCAAGGCTAATACAAAATTTGTATCTGCAAAAGCGAGCTGCGGCTACCCGCGCTGACAGGCTCCAGGGCCCTGAAACGCCCCAGGCTCCAGGGCGTTAGGGAAAGGGGATTTGTGCCGGTTCCCCCTCGGGCGCGGGGAGAAAGGGCTGTTGCGTTAATGGAGAGGCCAGGGCCAGCAGCCGGTGGGGAATCTGTAGAGCCCAAGGCTAATACAAAATTTGTATCTGCAAAAGCGAGCTGCGGCTACCCGCGCTGACAGGCTCCAGGGCCCTGAAACGCCCCAGGCTCCAGGGCGTTAGGGAAAGGGGATTTGTGCCGGTTCCCCCTCGGGCGCGGGGAGAAAGGGCTGTTGAGACCCGACTCCCCCCCTGGCAAAGCCCCGCCGCGCAGAGGGCCGGGGGCGGGGGCCGCCAGATGAACCGGCCCGCTCCGGAGCAAGGCCCGAGCCGCGGCCTGTCCCAGCCCGCGCGGCCGCCCCGCCAGGCGCCTCTCTCAGCCAGTGTCTCACGCCAGGCTCCAGCTCCACAGGCCCCACCTGGAGCCTTCCCGGCGCAACGCCCCTCCCCTATCTCCAGCCCTTTCCGACCAACCCCCACCTCCGCTCATGCATATTCACGAAGGCTGATTTAACTATTCATATGGAGGGGGCGCGAGCGGTGGGGGTGAGGGGGTGTTGATTAATTATTCAGGAGGATGTACCATGGTACCGGAGAGGAGGGAGCGTTAATAAAAGAACCGTGGGCCATCCCGGCCCGATTCATTCCCTTCCTTTCCTACCCAAAGTAGGGAGCAAAAAATGCAATTCCGCGTCTCTATCCGAATATGTCACACGTAGACCCTCATCCTAGGACGCTCCCACCGCCTTTGCACTTAGTTCAGTCTCCTTCCTCCTCACCTCCCTTTTTCGCTCCAACGGCTGGCTCCCTCCCAGATCTTGACCACGCCCCTTGTCGTGCGTGCTTGTCCCTGCCGCCGGGACCAGGAATCCCCGCGGCAGGAGGCGGGGGGAGGGGAAGCCTTAATAGACAGCACACCTGTGCT